CGTTAGCCGACCGCACCGTACTGTTCAGGCTTCATCGTACATGAACCTGCGTGTGTGAGTACACAACGAACGCGCGTTAGCGACGCCACCGTACTGTCAGCTTCATCGTACATGAACCTGCGTGTGTGAGTACACAACGAACACGCCGTTAGCGACGCCCCCGTACTGTTCAGCTTCATCGTACATGAACCCTGCGTGTGTGAGTACACAACGAACGCGCGTTAGCGATGCCCCGTACTGTTCAGCTTCATCGTACAGTGAACCTGCGTGTGTGAGTAACAGCGAGACAACGTGCGTTAGCGACGCCCGCGTACTGTTCAGCTTCATCATAACATGACCCTGCGTGCCGCGTGTGAGTACACAACGAACGCCGCGTTAGCGACGCACCGTACTGTTCAGCTATCATCATACATGAACCCTGCGTGTGTGAGTACACAACGAACGTGCCGTTAGCGACGCCCCCGTACTGTTCAGCTTCATCATACATGAACCCTGCGTGTGTGAGTACACAACGAACGCGCGTTAGCGACGCACCGTACTGTTCAGCTTCATCGTACATGAACCCTGCGTGTGTGAGTATACAACGAACGCTGCGTTAGCGCATCGCACCGTACTGTTCAGCTTCATCGTACATGACAACTGGCGTGTGTGAGTATCAACGAACGCGCGTTAGCCGACGCACCGTTACTGTTCAGCTTCATCGTACCATGAAACCTGCGTTGTGCGAGTATACAACAAGACGCGCGTAGCTGAGTGCCACCTAGATACGTTGCACCAACGATCCACGTCCGAAATTGCGTTGTTCTACCACCATGCCCGTTGACCACCTCGCCGCTGCACTATATCACGAATCACCTCCGCTGTCGCCGTTTTTTAAGCGTCATCGTCGCGATCATGTACCGTCACATGCTAGCAATAGTTCTGGTTTAACTCACCAGGGGGATGATGCCGTGCACGAGTGAGTAATCTCTGTTCTCCAGATACTTCATGTAGCGCACCATGTTTGTCTCAGAGTGGAAGCGGTGGAAAACAGATGAGGTGCAGGGGAAACTGCCGACCGTGCGTCTGAGCGGCTGCTATCCCGGATGCGCTCGGCCGGGCAGGATTAGGCCGCCGTCGCGCAAGGTTGACATGATGTCAGCCTACAGCGTACATGTACACAGTCAGACGAGGAAACGTTTCCTGAATGGTGATTCTATATGAATACTACTTCAAAAAATATATCTTATTACTATATATTATGATATACGTGTGCCGCACGGTAATATTTGAAAAAACATTATTGTATCCCACGACGACGAATGTCGGCGCTGGACTACTATGGTTTCATGTCTGGTCCAGCTTGGCGCCGCTGCAGACACTTTCCCTTTCCGCCTCTATAACTCAAACCCCTAATTGACTAGCGTTGACCAAACATTGGTCTACTTACAACGATCTTGCGGCCGAGAAGGTGCCGCAGTGTACAAAACCAGGTCACTACGAGCTTTACTTTTGATTTTTACCTTGACCTGATCATATTTCCCTTCCGCATCTATAACTCAGCCCCTAATTGACCTAGCGCTACCAAACTTGGTATACTTACACATCTTGAGAGAAAGGCCCGCAGCATACAAAAGCCCACTGTCACTACGACCTTTATTTGACCTTTACCTGATCACTATGTTCTCTCTTCCAGCTCTATAACTCGCCCTAATTGCACTTAAGCCGCATACCAAACTTAGGATACTACAACATCTTGGGAGAAGGTGCGCAGCGTACTAAAACCACGGCACTACGACTTTTATTTGACCTTTACCATATTTTCCTTTTGCTCTATAACTCGGCCCCTAATTGACCTAGCTCTACCAAACTTGGTATACTTACACATCTTTGGGAGAATGTGTGTCGCGTACCAAAACCACGTCACTGTGACTTTTATTTGACCTTGCATGACCTTGATCATATTTCCCTTCCGCTCTATAACTCGGCCCCTAATTGACCTAGCGCGACCAAACTTGGTATACTTACACATCTTGGGGAGAATGTGTGTCGCGTACCAAAACCACGTCACTGCAGCTTTTATTTGACCTTGACCATCACCTTAATCATATTTCCCTTCCGCTCTATAACTCGGCCCCTAATTGACCTAGCGCGACCAAACTTGGTATACTTACACATCTTGGGGAGGTGTGTCGCGTACCGAAACCAGGTCACTGCAACCTTTATTTGACATTGAGCTTGAGCTTGACCTTGACCTTGACCTTCATCATATTTCCCTTCCGCTCTATAACTCGGCCCCTAATTGACCTAGCGCAAGCAAACTTCGTATACTTACACATCTTGGGGAGGTGTGTCGCGTACCAAAACCTCTAAGGCAACCAATTTTAACATACTTGCACATCTCAGGCAGATGAGTTGTGTAACAAACCTTTGTCTTTGTGACCTATTTAACTTTACCTACCTTCTACGTCCTTACAGAGATTTTTCATTCATACTAGATCACGAGGGATACATGTAGTTGGCGACAAATTCCCTTTCTAGTTCTTTATATTACTTCTTATACTACATATACTATACTTACTTCTTATATACACTTCTTATACTTATATTACTTCTTATAAGTAGAGCGGCACAGGTTGCTATTACAATGAGTAGTTCAAGAAAAAAACTTACCCTGGTCTTAGAAGTTTCGAAGATCCAGAGTAAGTCATTAAGGTCCTCTTCGCTTACTGTTTCATCCACAGACACACCTATCTACACACAAATATGAAAGATGCATAGATAAGTTTTACAATAACTAGGAAGAAATATGAACACAGTAGCATTAGGTCACCAAACAAAGGAAGAACACTGATGGTCCGCAATATAATTCTACATTGCACGAAATGAAAACTAGGCGTGCACAACAGACGAGGTAGTATTTCACTGTAATAATAGAACCATAGTCAAGTGACATTTGTTTAACAAATATAATCAGCTTAGCCCATCTTCCTTTAACTTTTTAGTTACCAAACATAGATACAGTCCCACTCTGTGATGTAATTGATACCTTTCCATCACTATAGTAACGTAAGTTGATCCGTTTCTCTTCAGCTCTCTGTCTTATCTGCTGCTGAGATGTACTTGGCGTGATCAGCAAAGTATCAAAGAAAAGTTTGTGCTCTAATTTGTGCCCGGCTTCCTGAAGGCCTGAATAACAGAGTAAGAGTGAACATCAGTACAGTGACATTACACCACAGATTCATGAGGGATAAAATGTGTATGAAAAAAATAACAGCTGCAATGACACAGAATAAGTACCTCTTTCTTTACCTTTCTTTCCTTCTATAATTTTTCCCCATTATCTCTTGCTTTCTCTCTCGCTCTCTCGCTCTCCCTCTCTCTGTCTCTGTCTCTTGCTGGTGCTTACAGAGATAGGCAACCACATATATACACACCCCACACAGCATAACATATAAGGTGAAGAAGACCGAGTTACCTTGAGCGAGAATAACAGCTGTGTTATGAGTAAGGTTAGCTATGTTCCGCAGTCCTTCAGGGCCATGGTACACAGCATACATGGCTGACATGTTGGCCAGCAATGCCTGTAAGAGATGACAATCATAATTATATATGGCTCAGTATGAGGGTCCTATGAATACTTACTCGAGCTGTACAGCTGTTGCTGGTTGCCTTGGCCCTACGGATACGTTGTTCACGTGTTTGTAGGGACAACCTGTATGCCACCTTACTAATCAGGATTCCCCATGTGCTTGCCTACGGGGCACAGAGTTAGATCGGGGGGGAGGGGGGTCCTATGAATACTTACTTGAGCTGTGCAGATGTTGCTGGTTGCCTTGTCCCTACGGATATGTTGTTCACGTGTTTGTAGGGACAATCGGTATGCCACCTTACCACCGGAGTCTCTGCAAGGAAGGAGACATTATACCATGAGTTCACTTACTTCACAATAAACAGCAGGAGTCACTTTCACAAGTTGGCATTGTAATAATATTGACCAACAGATGGCGCCTGTAGCTACTTCTGTATGTGAGTATGACTTCTGCACCGTGACTACAAGGATAGCTTGTTGAGCGTTATACACACAGTTTTGCTATGGTTTGGTGTGAATGTCGCTGCGGCAACAGTAAGTTAGCAGGCATACTTAGTGACACCGATAATGCGTCCGGGCACCAGTCTCTTGAACTCCTCCTTAACAGCGAAGAACCCTGCATGAGGACCGCCATAGCCCAGGGGGATTCCAAATCTCTGGCTCGTTCCCAAGGCCACGTCCACCCCAATCTCGCCAGGGGGTCGCATGATAGTAAGAGCAAGCAGGTCTGTCGCACATATCGCCATGGACTGACAGAGAAAATAAGTACACCACCAATAACTTCAATGCTCAATAATAAAAACATTGTAATGTGTAAGTACTATAGTGTATACAATAGTATAATCAGAAAGATACACATGTTTTGTATGTGGAGTAGGCAAGTTACTGCAGTAGTTCAGGTCATTAGCCAACCCTGATAATGGACTGATGTCTTACCCCATTCTGATGTGCAACACCGACCAAATCAGTAAAGTCCACCACCCTGCCCTCCGTGTCTGGATACTGGAAGAGAACTCCTGACACGTCTCTGTTGCTAAAGTCCATGTCAGCGTTGTCCAAGACAATGACCTCAATGCCGAGGGCACTAGTGCAATACCAAATAGATTGTGTGAATGACTATGAAGGAAAGGATCAGGTAAAGAGAAAGTAAGAATGGAACTATCTGAGAAAAAAGAAATGTAAATGAGTGGGATGGTGAGGGAATGTCCACGGGGATAGCTAATCAGTAGCAAACAGTTATCTTGGAGATGGACGGCAAGCAAAACTGAATTAAGAGAAGGAAAATAAAAAGATTGATTCAGGAAAAAAACAGATTGAAAGAGGTGTGCCTGTTTTCATTCTCACACTATCTGATTAAAATTCTCCTCACAACAGATTCAAGAATGACAAGGACGTCTATAAACATTTTTGCTTTGTACAATAGATATAAATATATCTGTGACATGCATATATATTTATACAGCACTCACCTGGCCCTAGTCAAAACTACAGCCAATGTCTGGGGATGTAGTTTAGAATCACAGTAAAATTTCCTTCGCTTGTTGTGCCTGAAAAGCAATTGCCGTAAGCAATGTGAATTTTCAAATCATTCTCCTCAGCGCTGTAAGCAATCACATGCGATTGTGATACACGTACATAGCTGTTTATTGCCTGCGGGCTGAAAACATTGTTAGTGCATCTTAATAGGAAATGATACAGCAATATTTCGTGCAGGAACATGCCACCTGTCACCACGCATATGTGTTGGCAATCACGGCACCCGGCAGATAGATGCGATATGATATGACTACTAGGCACTTAGGATATGACTACTAGGCACTTAAAAAAACAACAACCTAACCCTAACCCTAACCCTAAAAAAAAAAAAAAAATTAAATTAAAGTGCCTAGTAGTCATATCATATCGCATCTTTCTGCCAACACCGCAATCACGTGCTCCCTTTGTACAGTGTAGGACGGTAACAAATGCTGATTTAATCTTTACTAAGGCAATACGTTGCGATGGCTGAACGCCTGGCAGCCACGTCATACACCCTGCTGTGGTTTCTACACTGAAAACCCATCAAACTGCCTTTAAGGGTCCTGACATCACCAGGCCACATACGTCTGCTACCCACCTATAGCAGAGAGCCATGGCCTCAGCTGCGGCAGTCGGCTCATCGAGAAGAGAAGCATTGGCAATAGCGAGACCTGTTAGATCACACACCACAGTCTGGTAGTTGAGCAGGCTCTCCAGGCGACCTTGGGCAATCTCGGGCTGGTAGGGGGTGTACTGTGTCGTCCTGTAATGTACGCACATTGTTACTAGAGCAAGCCATTAACGTACGCACAATGTTACTAGAACAAGCCAGTAACACACGCACATTGTTACTAGAGCAAGCCATTAACGTACGCACAATGTTACTAGAACAAGCCAGTAACACACGCACATTGTTACTAGAGCAAGCCATTAACGTACGCACAATGTTACTAGAACAAGCCAGTAACACACGCACATTGTTACTAGAGCAAGCCATTAACGTAAGCACATTGTTACTAGAACAAGCCAGTAACACACGCACATTGTTACTAGAGCAAGCCATTCATGTACGCACATTGTTACTAGAGC